CTGGGGGTTGCAGATATTATAGGAAACTTCTGCTGTCATTTTGAGCTAGTAAGATTTCATAGTTCACAATCTATGACAGAGGGAGGTGACAGAGCCTTTAAATGCCTCTCTATTATAATTCTGAAGAACAGGTAATCACGGAAATCAGGGATTAGTCTTTTCATGATATAGTCCTCTAATTATATACTTCAAAAAAAGGAGAGGAATGTAAGCATGCTTGGTAGTGTATTGACTTCAAATACATTGATGCAATCAGGTCTATGTTCGAAGCATATCACACAGTGCATATAATATATTTGCTGCAGCTCTAACTGGGAATAAGTGGTTTTCTGCTCATGGGATAATGGTTGGGTATAAATAAATTTAACAACTATGGGAATATATATTATATCAATATTTCAGAAGTTCAGAGGTAATTTATTCAGGCTTGCACAAGACAAAAATCACATGTCTATTAAGAAGGTTTTAAATTCCAAATTTTCAATATTCAATTCTATGAGCTAAAAAGCACCTTAGAAATTAAATGACCGTGGTGCAGCTGTCATGTGTTCGAAACAATGTGGTTCCTTTTTAGAGACTCATGAATAATGCCAATAGTATATGATAAGCCTCACTCTCCAAGGGTGTGAACACAGAAGTGCACAGTATGACTGGTAGATGTAAAGTCTAGACAGCTTGTTTTTTCAGTCAAAACAAAAAAAAACAACAGGAAAGCACCCAAACCGCACTAGTGTTGTGTGTTGCCTTTATGTACCAAAGAAAAGCTTAATTGCTCTCATGTAAGAATATGGATTTCTAAACGCATTACAGGCAGGCTGCTATGTGGTCTATAGTGGCAGAGCGTCTGTAATTGCAGCTCATTCTTAACCTGGCCTGCCACAACCTGATACTTTTCAAATTTAAATTAAGAATTGCCCATCATTGTGTGTTATAATTCCGGCTAATTTGGAATAGCCAAAAGTGTTCATATCTCTACGCAGTCCCATACAGGAGGTTCAGTACACCCATTGGTGTCCCTCACCAACACGACAACAAGCCAGCAAGTGCCTGGGAGGCCACACAGGTCACTGTCTTCACTGTCACCATGCGCTGAAAGAGCCTTGTCTGAATAATCCCAATCTACTTTTTGCAGTGCTTATGCAATTTGCTGCCGCTGCTTAAATTTGTTAATTAATAATTAATAATTGCTTCCACTTATCTAGCACTTTACAGGTAATGGGGACTCCCTCCACCACCGCCAATGTGCAGCATCCACCTGGATGATGCGACGGCAGCCATAGTGCGTCAGAACGCTCACCACACATCAGCTATCAGTGGGGAGGAGAGCAGAGTAATGAAGCCAATTCATAGATGGGAATTATTATTGTCACCCAATGGTGACATGACCCAGACATGGCAGGCAAACACCTTTACTGGTTAAACTCAGCCTTTTACCATTCGTCCATCGATGCTCTCAGAATGTGAAAGTCCTCACATGAGGAAAAATAAACTAAGGTTTGCAAATGCCATGTGTTAACTTTTGTAATTTGCCTTAACAAAAATATATTGGCTAAAATAAAAAATGACTTTCACATTAAATTAACGCATAATATTAACTTCAGCTGTGACTAATTAACACTATTATTTAAAAAAATCTGCCTGGAAGGAAAATTAAGGCTGGTACTTGGTTATATATGTTTTATCTATGAGGTTTACATCAAACGTTTGTTACTGATTTTCATCTCCAAAGGCAGCTTTCATCTGTCTATTTCAATTTCTTAACTTGACTATTTACAGGACACTTGATTTGACTTTGTATCTGGTATAAAATTAAATCTACCAACTACTGTCCTGGAACTTATTAAATAGTTGTGCTTTTATGACTAAATGTACTTCTTCTTCTATTCACATTTGTGATTAATTCACCAAATATCTCAGGTTGTGTTTGAATTTATGTGACATTACTCAAAGTAAAAAAGGTAAATTATAGCAAGCATACAGTACATGCTTTTATTTTCTGATTTAAAAAATACACCTATTAAATATTGTTGTTTTATGTTGAAGTGTATTTTTTATTTCTTTGCAAAGGAGTTGGTCTTACTTTACACTTTCAAATTAATTGATATTAGACCCAGCTCATAATTTGTAAATCTTAGAATAAACAGGTGCTTCTTCATGACCTAATTAGTATATTTATATACTTGCCTTCCACATTATTAATAACATTTAGGTAATGCAGCTGTGTGTGTCAAGGTTTCTTCACTTTAACCAAAGGTTATTTTATAAATTAATAAATCAAGTGAAAAAAATAAATAGGAATATTCCATCTATCATGATATGATAATGACACAAATAATGTGTGCGATACAATATACTTTATTTTGGGTTAATTCCATGCATATACAGTACATGATCATATTAGAACACACTTTGTGTTTAATCCAGTGATTACAAATCACCCCATAAGCATTGGGTCATATTCACAAAAGTAAAGTCAGAAAATAACATTCAGTGTGTAAAAGCCAGTATTTGGTTTCCAGTCCTTTTGAGGAAATAATATGAAATCTGTAACCCATTGGGGTCATCATCTGAGATGCTTACACCATCAATAATGAAGAAGGATCCAGTCCTAGAGGCATGCCCAGGCTAGGACATTGGCTGATGAAACCTATAAAGAATTCATAAGAAGATGCTTATCACAGTTTTACCCAATCATCAATCATCAAGATGTCCAAAGCAGAAATACCAGGATATCCTTCACTAATTGTGGTTTTTACACACTGGTAACCTTCTCTTTAGGGGTGCCATTCTCTCCCAGCATCTAGCTCTTCTCATGCACAGTCATAGCGTCTCGCAGGTGTCATCTTCACAGCGATTCACTGGAAGGATATTATTCCACCTAGAGCTTATAAAAATGTTGTTCCCAATCTGTATGTATGAAAATAATGAAAATTATGGCTTGTCAGAAAAACTCAATTTTTACAAAATGGCGATCTGGATAGAATATGTCCAAGAGTTCTATTTGACTTTGTCTTTAAGATAAGATCACTTTATTAGCCATATACAATTTCTTGCATTAGGAATTCATCTTTTCACCTACCCCAGCTTGCTCTCCATGAGACACACAGACAGGCAGAAAAGCTTGGGGTCAGAGCACAGGTTCAGCCATTGTACAGCGCCCCTAGGGCAGTTGGGGTTAAGGGCCTTGCTCAGGGGCCCAATGGAGTAGAATTTCTGTGAAGCATGGAGGTGGTTCTTTAGAACATTTGAGACATTCTAATGTATTCTAGGATGCTTGGTCTGAATCTGTGTTTTCTTTGTCAAGAAATTTAAGGTTGGTCAGAAATGATTCGGATAAAGATTCTAAGTACATATGGAACCAATCAAGACGAAATAGTTTCTGATACAATCTTCAGACTGTAATTTCACTGGCTATCTGTGAAATGCAGTAAAGTAGCCATTCATATGTGTACACAACGTGACCAGAATAAGATTGAGTGGTTTGGCATGCAAGAGAAATTACAAATCCCTTATAAGGGGAAATGTATTAGATGGTCATGGTAGGTAACTAGAAAGGTTTTCTCAAAATATTGATATTGAATATTGAATAATGGTTCTGTATGTACAATCATTGGACATTGTGCATTTAGACAGATTAATACATTTCACAAACATACAGTAAGTGATATTGTCAATATTTTATCACATTGAATTTATTTAAGAAAATAGTGAATGTACAATGCAATTCTATCAGCATTTACTGTAGATCCACTTCTTTCCATTTTCTAAATAATACAGGCAAAATGTACATACAAAAGATCATATAAATGCACAAGCTGTATCTGAGAGAAGCAATTACAGAATTCAAATTTAAATATTGTCTATAGACAGTAGTACTTTATCATTCTGTCTCATAATGTGAGGGCAGCATGCTGGCACAGTGGTTAGCATTTCTGCCTTGCAGTTTTGGAGCTCTGGGTTGATTTCTGGACCTGTGGAATTTGTATTTTCTTCCCATGTTCATGTGGGTTTGCTCTTGATGCTCCAGTTTCCTCCTAAAGTCCATACTGGTAGGTTAATTGGCTTCTGAAAAACTTGTCTTGGTCTGAGTGTGTATGTTTGTGTTATGTCTTATTTGATCTTATTCTTTTAATCCACTTAGTGTGTGAAAAATAAATTCTCTGTATGATACAGTATGAAGTTTCTCCTTAGCCTCTTTTCCTGTTCCATCAATGTTAAAAATTAGATGTCTCAGTTAATTATATCTTTCATCATATTCTCTGAATATTAATATGCCATCTGAATTATATTTAAGGTTTTCAGGGGCATTTCTAAAATTAGTAAGAAATAATAATTGTTTAACATGCATAATGAGGAAATATTAAACCATAGCTATTCCATAACTACCGCTTTTATTTTCCTTCACTAATTCACAACTGCTTTTAATGCAATGTTGCATATTCTAATTTTATTTCTAAGGTTTTATAATACTGATGCTTGTACAGTACAAAACTGAACACAATACGGAAATTACACCTGATACATATGCTGTATAATCATCATCATTAGTCTTTGTTAATCCACTGCTTATGAACATTCTTCTCTGATCTGATGGTTCTTCTGCTTCAGATGTGTTCTTACAAGCTTATTTCATCATGTCACGTTATAGGCAGTCTTCTTTGCTGTATGTCGTCTCTTCTGATTCACTTTAGCGTTTACTTAATCCTAAACAAATGCAAAGTTAGTGTCTTTTAGATCTTTTTTGAATCCAACAGTGGTGATGTATCTGAGCAATAACATTTTTTGGATTTGTATTAATCTGTTTTTCTTAATGTAATTGGTAAATATTCATTTTTTAGCATTTAGAAAAGAGACATGAAAGGAGAAAAATGTGCAAAGATTTAAATTCCAAACATTCTGTAGTTAAATAGTATAATAACACAAAAGACTGTTTGATTCAACTCATCATACATGATGTTTAATCATACTCTTTAAAACAAAGATTTATTTTGTTTCCATAGGTTTCACTTGTTCACCTTTTGAAAACAGTTAGACTCTTACGACTTTTGCGGTTGCTGCAGAAAATGGACCGATATTCACAGCATAGCACTGTGGTCCTTACACTTCTTATGTCCATGTTTGCCTTACTGGCCCACTGGATGGCATGCATATGGTATGTCATAGGCAAGAAGGAGATGGAAGCCAATTCATTCACTTGGGACATTGGTGAGTTTTATTTACTGTTCTTTTGGGAAGGGATAAGTGTAAAGACAGGGCATGTAATTAGAAAAGACATAAATCATAGTGTTTTTTTAAACTTATATACAGTAATAAACTACCTGTATATATGAACAAGTAATAGGTTTATTCCATGCTGAAAAAAAGAAGAAGAAAGAGAACACAACGTTTCGGCCGTGGAGCCTTCTTCAGGTGTGAGAGAGACAGGGCAGTAGGCAAAGGTAAAGTAGCGGGAGAACAAAGGTTGGGAGGGAGGAGGAGTGAGAGGCGGGAGCAGGGGACAGAAAGAGAGGCCAATCAAGAGGTGTGAAGTCAGAATGGGTGCAGAGAGGTGTGAAATGAAACTTCCAATGAATGGAAAAAATTTAAAAGAACAGTAATCTGTCGTTAAGGGAAGGGAGAATGTGTGATCCTAACTGCAGAATAATTTTAGTTTCGGTGGTCTTTCTGATGTATGAGTTCGGAAAACCGTCTTTGAGAACACAGACGGAGAGATTAGTGTGGTCGTGGCCGTCAGAGGTGAAATGAGAAACAATGGGCTTGGAGAGATCTTTAATCTTCACAGCCCTGACGTGTTCTCTGAAGCGGTCTCCGAGTCTCCTTCCTGTTTCTCCAATGTAGATGGCTGGGCATTTACTGCAAGAGATACAGTAAATATACCTGTATATATACTTATATAGTATAAACTATATATAAACTAAAATATACTAAATATACAGTAATAAACTAAACGGTGTTCTCTACAAACCAGATTTCACCAGCAACATGCTAATATTTTAGAGAAGTATTACAATGTGTTAAAAGAAGTATTAAAAACTGTGTGTATTGTAATGGCACATGGGACAAGTCACAACAGGGCATTCGTTTTAGTTGGGTCCCTGGCCAACAGACACACAAGCCCAACACAAGCCATAAGGTTCAAAATCATGCTCTTTATTTACATGGTAAGTATACCAACCACCATTAAACACAATAATAAACAAAAGTCCACAGAGCCTAACAGGTGCAATCTTCCGGAGTCACACACACCGTCTTCACAACTACCACTGGTACAGCTTCAGAGCATCTTACAGGCTCGGTCTTTACAGCATCTCACAGATCATCCCTCCTACCGACCTCATAGATCTGGTTGTCCTTATTTCACACACTCTGCACCTTGCGTCTGCTTCTGTCTAAATTGGAGTAGGGTGTGCAACTGTCCCCTGCCCCAGTGATTGTTGGCAGCTCTGATTGCCATTTTGGGCAGTGGAAAAAGCTTCCATTAATGGTAAGATGCTTCAGGGATATACTGCCCCTTGCAGCATCACAGCATATAAAAAGTATAAATTTAAACACATTAATTATGCCCCCTTATATGAATTCAATCAATATTAAAGCACAAAAATAAAGCGGGATAAATTTGTCTTAATTATACATGCAGAACTACTTCATACATCTCAACAATTAGCTGATCTATTGCCTACAAATATTATCAGAACTGATCTGTGCTACAAGGCACTGAAATATGAGAGAGAGCCTATTTCAGTTTCTAAAACATAAATTCAAATCGTAATCATGGAAATAAACAAAAACAAACCAAAAACAACGTACAATAAACAATAAAAAGATGAGAAAAATACATTAAGAATGTTTTTCTAGCCAAAGCAAAAATCAGAAATGAATAATTATTCCCCAAACTCAAAATGAGTCAGACATTTCCATTTTTTAACACGACCCATTATATTTTTTTTCCAACAAAGAATAATATTTAACATAACACTTAACACCATTTTCCTTAGTGAAGTACAGTAAGTAAAATCAAAAGGCTACAGTATTTTTTTCCTGAGACAAAAGACAAACTGTTCTACCTAATAACCATGGCTTTAGGACTCTCATGAGCAATAAAACTTTACCAAACCCAGAACATATTTATCATCAGTGCAGATTTATGTTCAGTTTATTTTCAGATTTACAAAAGGCACAGATCTAGTTTGCTTGACTTATTTCTTTCTTTGCTAAAGGCTGGCTTCATGAACTGGGGAAGCGTTTGGAATCTCCATACAGTGGGAGAAACAGCTCTGCAGGTCCTTCCATTCGAAGTGTCTATATCGCTTCCCTTTACTTCACATTAAGCAGCCTCACTAGTGTTGGTTTTGGAAATGTCTCTGCCAACACTGATGCAGAGAAGATCTTTTCAATATGTACTATGCTAATAGGAGGTAAGTTATTATTGTTGATTTCTGTACTGACATTTTCAGGTTGTTTCTGGAAAACATAAGTTATACGAACACCTGTCCACATCTACTGTATAAATCAAACCTGTAAATGTATTTCATTTTCTATTTTAATATGTAGATTTGAATTAAGGTCTCTTTTCCCTTTACTGTATGCACATTCATACTGTTAAATTATGAATTATGGAAACCAATGATAGATGAATGTCTTATCCACAGCATTTCAGACTGCAATGTATATGGCATAGTTAGAATTCATTCAAATGTGAAACTATTCTGCACATTACAGCCATGTGACCTGCAAATCACATAGTGTGGTTATTATTTTCTGGTAGCCAGACAATTCTGTTGTCTACCAAGAACTTTTGGAATGAAAAGAATGTATTTAAAAAAGTTACTGTTATGTAGTAATGCAATATGATTGTCCAGAAATGGGCATCCATGTGTTAAATTAGTTGACATTTGTAGATATTATTTTTTATTATCTAATGTATGGTCTCTACTTAATTGAAGTTGTTTAGTGTGAATGTTTAATTTTCACCAGCAATATGGACATACTTTAAAATAAATTAAAGATAGTGTATGGAAATATTGAGTAATATATGAAGCATAGTCCTTTCTAAACAGGTGTGTGAGAAAGTACCAGGAAATAAGGTTTTAATTTAATTCTCAAAAACATATTGTAGCAAAACTAATATTTCTATTGTGATTTAGGATGAATGACAGCTGCAACCACTTTGTAGTTTGGACAGAAAGTTATTAAACAGTGAAAGAAAACCCAGCTCACTGAGAAGAGAAAACAAACATGAGACAGTTGATCCCTCAAACAAGTGGAAACATTCAGTTTTCCCTTGTCCATCTCCCTGAACGGGAGGCAGTATGTCTAGGGGAAAATAGCTTCCAAAACACAGGAGAGATCCCCATCTTCCAAGCACCATCAATGCTGGCCAGTGGAATGGAATTGAATCCCATTCACAGCTGGCCAGTTACATGACCCAGGCTCAGACTCATAAGGTCATAGAACTCAACCGGGTACAGGTTGAGTTAAATGGGAGACTCCTTGATTTAACATATTTTCAGTAATAATAGGTAGTAAAATCTGGAAAAGTTCAAAGTATAGTGACAATCTACAACCGACTTGTATCTGTAAAAAACACAGAGGCCACCTACACTTGCACCATACACTGAAAGATTATGATGTTTAACAACATTGAACAAAGGCTGGATATTTCATGTGAGGTATGGAGAAAATCCCTTCTATCACTAGACAGTATTGTGCCCACAGTTCAAATCAGTGGTTGAGGTATCACATTCTGTGGTATGATCTGCTAATTTCTTATGTCTCCTTTGGTCCATTCTGAATTACATATACTGAATCTCAAAAACCATCACCAACAAGTTGTGTATAGGAAAGCTCACTATCAATTACATAGTGATTGCATACTCCAAAATGCCAATGCTAATGTGCACAGAGCCAGTATTATAGAGGAGTGCTACTCATGAGATGCACCTTAGCCACTTTCCCTTGTCATTAGAGTTTCTTAACTCTAAGCATATTTCAGTTTAATGGATTTGTGCTTTAACAGACAAAATCTACTAAAGGTGAATTTTGTTTGCAAAATGAGAATATTCCCAGTTATTCCCCACAACTGGGAGGTAGGTCTAAAAAGCGTGAATATCAATGGTGCCCTATGGGGTAGACAAATTGCTTAGGATGGGTGCTGTTTGTGTTTTTGTCTTAGAGAGTTAGAAAAAAACATTTTACAAAAATACCGTAGAATGCTAACAATACATAAAAATGTTTTGTAAAATGCACAAATAATCAAATAAGGTAAAAAAGATTACATGGGGTTAGAATTCAGGATATTAAATTTAAAAAATTATAAATTGTAAATTCCCCACTCCAGATACTTTGGTACTGAGATATTATTTACATGCCATCACAGTAATTTTCTTCCACACATGCAAAAATTTTTTTTACTGAGGATAGTCTTCACTAATTCCTGGATTTGCAATCTCATTATGTGCTTCCTAGCTCTTTTTTACCTTACGACATCCCCTGAGATGCAAGTTTGTCACCCAGTATATACTGTAATCTGCTGTACCTCATACACGAAGAAAAGTGCTTCCTCTGTTTTTTTTTTATTACATGCTTCATCCAAACCCCTAGCGGCTAAAATTGTTTGGAAAAGGGACATGAATGAAAGAAGTAAACCAATTTCTTCAAACATTTTTTTTGAGAAAATACAAATTCTACCTACAAAAACCCTTGTAATCGAATGATTCACTGATATTTTCTTTACAGTTTATATTTGATCCTTCATAGATGATATAATGTAAAGCTATTTTCTACCCTCTGGCGTAAGATCTAATCATATCGTAAACAGTTTCTCAAATATGGAATGTCGTGATGTCAGATTCTGGGAATGTCTTGACGTTGTTACGTAATTGAAATAAGGAAAACTACTTTTAAACTACTTTTCCTGTTATCACATGGTACTTTTGCTAGATGATGATTCTAATCATGGTGTCTCATAGACATAGAAGCAGAAAGAACAGCAATGGATCAGACTAGACACACAATGTTTTGGCTGGTCTAATCACATCTAAAAAGATGCTAGTGCTACATTTGTGAGACATCGTATTGTCTCCTATGGTATCAGTGGATGCAGTCATCCATTGAAGCATATCCTCATTCCATTTACTATATATGGTCCTTGTTGCCATGTTGTGAATGGTGGAGGCTTGGAGTGCTGTTGCAAATGTGCTCACATGTTTATTTCATGATGTTTCTACTGTAGTTGTCTAATTTTAGTTTGGAGATCCTTTGACCAGTAAGTTGAAGAGGAATACCAATGATGTTGTATGTGTGTCTGGGACATTATTTTCTTCTACTGTATCTTGTGATCAAGCTTTGATATTGCACTGAAACATATTCTATCACTTTCAAAGTCTGTGCTAATATAAATCCAGGAAAACTACAGTATTTTGTTTTGCATGCAAGGCATGTAAATGTAATCCACAACCTGTGCTTGGCTGTTCAGTGTTTTTACTCATTCATTTTTTTGTCTCTAGCATTGATGCACGCACTGGTGTTTGGCAATGTGACTGCTATAATACAGCGCATGTACTCAAGATGGTCACTCTATCATACAAGAACAAAGGATCTTAAGGACTTCATACGGGTCCATCACCTGCCGCAGCAGTTAAAACAAAGAATGTTGGAATATTTCCAGACAACATGGTCTGTCAATAATGGGATTGATGCTAATGAGGTACTTTATAAATGTAACTTCGTTCATTTCCCATTTTTAGATCCATTGTATCTAAGTACCCTAAAGTAACATGAATGGGTACTTGTCCTTTAAACAAATGATAGCATGTCTATGTGATGAAACATATTATACATTTTTGATTTATAAAACACATTTTTTTTGCAGGCTTCAAAATTATGTCCTTTTTGTGCATGATTTGGTGGTTTGAAACTCTACCACCAAAAAATTTAATTTCTACACGGAATTTCTCTATGAAGGATTATAAATACCTAGATAAATGTATAAATAGTTCAAAATGCAACAGATTAGATATGTGTATATTTTGTTATTTAGCTGTTATAAGTGACAAAAATACTATACTTCTACAAGTGTAAAAATATAAACTAGAACTACAACTAAAAACATACTTAAGTATTATTATAATTAATCAAATAAGATACAAGAGGTCACTGTTTTGTCTGAGTTAATAAAATGTCATATTGTTAGATTAAGGATCAATGTTGTTGTTTTTTTTTAATTCTGCAGACATAATTTATGTACCCTGTCTCTTAGGTCTGATATTCTTCAAACTCACAGTCTTTGTGCTGTGAATGATAATGATAGATTGTTGACTACTGCAGATCTGAGGACTTTTTAATTTTTAAAAAAGTGCTATTAAAATCAGTGTAAAATATTTAGGTTTATATAAAATGCAGTTAGTTCTGTTTCATTAATGCTGCTGTAAAATTAATTGTGCATACTGATATAAATGTATGTTATAATTTAAAAAATGGTTCAAATTATCCTTTTTATTATTCATTATTTTCCTGGAGAAGAGTTATGGGAATGGACCATAATCTTTTGATGATCTTATTCACATACAAAATAATTACAAATACTGCTCTTTTTTTCTTCTTTTTTCGTCTTGCGTGCCTCTGCAGCTTTTAAAGGATTTTCCAGATGAATTGCGCTCTGACATTACTATGCACTTGAATAAGGAGATTCTGCAGCTGTCTCTGTTTGAGTCTGCCAGTAGAGGCTGTCTCAGGTCTCTGTCATTGCATATCAAAACATCCTTCTGTGCTCCTGGGGAGTACCTCTTGCGGCAGGGAGATGCCTTGCAGGCCATTTTCTTTGTCTGTTCAGGCTCCATGGAAGTCCTCAAAGATGGCATGGTATTAGCAATACTTGGTAGGTAAGCCCTTAATTTCTTATAACAATAAATAGTCCTATTACATTGTTTTGTAGGATAACTGTGATACTGTGAGAGAAATGTCAGTTTTTAGTAAAGATAAAGAAATAACAATTATATTCTGAAAATTTATTTAAGTAAGAATTTTGATTCAGCTTCTTTACAATTGTTTCAAATGTTAAGCCTTTACGTGAAATCATGCCCAAAAGATATGCATTCAAAACCTTTAAAGGCTGCGATTAAAAATGAACGAATCGTTAAGGAAAACTGAAGTTTAGCACAACCTTGAGCCATCAGCTCACTGCTGGTCTTAGTAGAAGTTCTCTGACAGAACTATGATTTAAGGTACCATTATTAAACCCTAAAGATAACAGAAAAAAAATATTATCTGCTATAGTTAATTTAATTTTCTAAGTATAATGGATTGGATTGCATAAAAATTAAATATATGGACAAAAATATAGGCACAGCAATCCCCAGGATTCTTGAAATGTTCTTGAAGAATTTATTCAGAAATTCAGAGATTATTTCAGTTATAATAAATTACATTTATATATCATGGTTAATTCAGAAGGTACACACATTGTTAAAATCTTTTTTTTAAAGTAAAGAGACACAAGCAATCATCTCCATACCTTCCAGTTTATGGCAGTAGATTTTTCATTATTATAAACATTCTGAATTGCATGATTTCTATCTTTACTCAGGGCCATAGTTTTCTTATATACTGTACATATATAAATATCTTATATAATAGATAGTTAAACTGTATTTAAAATTTCACTAATAATCACAATATTCACAATAATCTGTTTGTGAACAGAATAGTCTAAAATGACAATAAGTAGCCATGCCCAGCTTTTTCACCTTCATTACAGTTCGTCAGTGTAGTATAGACAGACTTGGACTAAATATTATGAATTAGAAGTCACCTCAGACTGTTTTTATTCAGTTTTTTAATATTGTTGTTTTTTAATATTTATATCTGGATTATACTTGTCCAAAGAAACGTATTGTACAACTATATCCATGCACACAACTTGACACTTGATGGATAAACAGTATTCTACACCTCTATCACAGGTTTGTAATGTGATGTAGCTAAACAGTGGTAATTAATTTTCTTAAATGTCATAATTCACAGTGACTTGTGCTTGCTCTTATGTGATCTGTATTAAACTCATTTTGGTGGTCAAAGTTTGGCTGTACAACAGTGATGAATGCTACTTAAAGTAAAACAGCTGCCTATGTCTTTGCCTTAATATATGTCTTTTCAGAATCATAAATCTCTTCAGGAATTTCAGATATTTATGATCAGAGCTTATCAACATTTGAAATAAAATATTATAATAAAAAAAATTAGAATTATTTTAAGTAAAACCAAATTTTTTGTCTTTCTTGATTGATATGAGGTGAACAAATACATGTATACCGCAATGTATACAATACATTGTATTTTGTATTCTTGTAATATTGAATGTAATAAATAGTCAAAAGGAAGTTCAATTGAGTAAAAAATCGTGTTTTCCTTCAATGGGATATTCAGTTAAGGTCAACTCCAAACAAGTTAATTTTGTGGACAAATCAATCATGTTTTTTTTTTTATTATACTTAAACCTCATTCCAATTCACTGTTTATTTCCTTTAAAGTCACACTATTGTTTTAAAAATTACAAAGTAATAGTGAATTTTTTTACTGGGTAAAAAAACCTGTTGAATCAAAATACGTTTTTAAAATTATTTTAAAGGAAAAGGAGACCTAATTGGAGCTAACCTTTCAATAAATGACAGAGTGATAAAAACAAATGCGGATGTCAAAGCTTTGACATACTGTGATCTGCAATGTATTAACCTCAAAGGATTATATGAGGTTCTGGATCTGTACCCTGAATACGCTCACAAGTTTGTGGAAGACATTCAGCAGGATCTTACTTACAACTTACGAGAAGGTCACGAGAGTGATGTGAGTATTACAATTCATACACTGTTTTTATATTTACCTGTGTAAGAAACTGCAATTAATTGCACTCCCTTCTTATGTACTGAAATTTAAAAGAAGCTGATCACTTAACAAGTCTACATTAGGACAACGACATAGAAAAAGGAACCAAGTGAGCTATCAGAATTTAATCGGTGTAGATCAGTGCAGTCATATTACTATCAACTACTCCAAGCCGAGTTCTCTAGAAATTAGATACTCCTGTCCGGACCATTACACTTGGACATCCTTATTGATGCTGCTGAGATGTTGTGACTAGTGGTCACTCAAATTGTGCTTCATGGATGATCTTTGCAGTTACTTCTTTCTAGGTTAAAAATTACTGGCAGTAAACACCCCCAGGCAACCAGTCTTGGTTCAGCTTTCAATATATTGATGGCATAGATGGTTCTCTTGATAGGTGGTGCATATCTCTCTTGCTTTGTTTTTTCTTTCTTGATTTTCACAAGACTAGACATTCAACAGATTACCTTTTCCCAGTCATCTGTTTCACAAATGAAGTGATTTAGCGACTTATACAACAGTGAAAGAGTATCATGGTCAGTCATGGCTGAAAACTATTTTTGTTTAGATATGAAAATGAATCACATTTATTTTTAATTTCTTTGGATAAATTTTAATTTTCGCAGGAGCCCCAGCCAGTCATAAATCCTACATTACACATTACACAGTTGCAGAAGATGCCTTTTGACTATTAAAAAGAATGTTAAACAATTAATCATATTTAAACAATGTGAAGTTTTCTAACTTTGTAAACTTTTAATTGTTAGTTTCTTTTTAACATGATTTTAGAAGAAAACACACGATACAAATCAGCACAAAATTATGACAAATTCCACAGTTATATGAATTTTCCAGTTCTAAGGTTAATATTCACCAGCATACTACAATAACCACTTTAAAGTGGAAGGCACAGTAAATTATTTTAAGCTGACCATCATACTTACTGGCTAGAGTAAGTATTTAGTGCTGTGCTGTTTCAGGCAAGTCTTGATGTACCGTATTAGGGATTTAAGAGAAAAAAGAAGAATAAAGCACTTCTAAAGTTCTAAATTGTTTGCTTTAGATCAAGGGTGTTGTAAAGAATGTGGCCTGAAAATCCCTCTGTCAACTCTCTGAATGTCAGAACTTGTTTCATTGTTGTCTGTTAGCAATTTAGATTAACTTGAAGTGATTCATCTGGGTACTTAGACAAAATATATTATTTTCTTTAGATAACATTTAATCTCTTAATGAAATCTCACTGTCATCATATAGTCATATATGTTTTCATTCAATATTTATATAACACTCTTTCTACTGTGAAAGATGTACAGTGGAGGTTTCTTTTTCTCACTGAAACTTCACTGGTTACCCTTAGACTGAACCCACCTTCACATCTCAATCGCACCTTAACAGCTGCATGGAAATGTTGCACCTGGTTTAGTGGTTGCAACTAATCCTACCTGCAGATCAGGTGTAAAAGTTAATCGCGCAGCTTCATGGGGCGGTCCGTACTTTGCTCTTCCAAGCCCCCAATATTTCTCCCTCCTGAGCGCTATTTAAAAAACCTCGATCTCACAAGCACACCTATATCTCGCTCTCCTGAGGGCAGTGTAGCTTTAACACATCTAAAACCATCGACTTGAATGGTGTTCGCCACGGCTCTAAAGAACCACACTTACACTACCAAAGTGTCTTAAAGCAAATTCAGTACTTACAGAACTAGGAGGAGGAAGAACTAAGTCCCTTTCTACTACAGTATAAATCTGTTTGCCAACAGCAGCTGTTGTAGCTAGTAATTTGCCTTTGTTTACCATTAAACAAGAGTAAATTACCTGTTTTAAATTTTACAATCTGGTGCTCCCTTGATTTTCAGAGAAATAATTTGGAGAAAGACACTGAAAGAAGCTGGTCCCAGGAGATGAAAGAAAATACATTTTATTAACCCATCCAAACAATAACATCCAGAATGATGTCATTGAACAAATTTACCTCAGTCCAGGCCCTGTAATCAAGTGAACAATGCCAGGACACCTCAAATGTTAAAAATGTTAATAATTGTGGTTTTATAGAACCTCCAATATCTGGAGCACTATTGTAGCTCCCTAGAGCTAAGGTGACAGAATATCATGTTTAGTGTTAGTTATAGCTAGGGCAGGTGGCACTTAAGCTGATTTTGTCTGTGTGGGCACAAATGTCATTGTATTAAAAGAGCACACTTTCCATCCAGAGCAAAATTACATCTTGGCAAGAAACTGAAGTACAGCACTGAATCAGTTGTTTTACTACGAATCCTACCAGCACTGGGCGCAGATGATCAATCCACAAGTTTATTAATCTCCAAAGAGAAATTGTATGAATTAATTGGCACAATGTATTAATTGAAACAGTGAATTGCATGAGCTTTCTTTGGCTGTTAATAATCAATTGACAAAATAACAAGCAGTCTACAAATTGATTCAAAATACACAGAATACTGTATGTTTGTTAATACATATTCAATAAGTACATAAAAAGAATAATGTTAATACACAAAATAATCTGCCTAGATACAAAACACCATATGTTTTAACTGATACCTTAATATAAAAAATATCAAGATTAAGAAGAGATACAAATGCAAGGATTTAGTATAAAATCTGTTATAACTCATTAATCACATTTAAATACTCAACATTCAGATCTTATAATAATAATTATAATAATAATAATTGCTTACACTTATATAGCGCTTTTC